CCCTTGGTTTATGAAGCTCGATTTTCACAACTGTGAGAGAGGGTACTGTTTTTGTGATGTCAACTCCTACATTTTTCAGGGAATATCCCTGACGCTCTAAACACATGCCGATCTACACACAGCATGTGTTATTGATACACATATCACAGTCGTTCTAAATTTGATTTATTTTAACAGAGTTACTACCCTGGTTTATGATCCTCATTTTTGGCAACTGATACAGGTACAACTTTGTCTCAGGTAACAACCATTATAAAACAATGTCATTTAGTCTCAAAATGTCACAATATCTAACTGTAGTTAGTTTCCTTGTATAAGGCTTTTGTGGGTGAGCTACATCTTTATGGCATTAGCATTCAGACTGGATTACTCCCAACAAAATGTTCTGCACAATTTGTTTCAAATGCAGTGCCATCTACTGTTGTTATTTCATAAAATACAAAGAAAATATAAACTCGTTAAAAAAGTTCATGCGGGGGATGTTGTGCTCTCGGAGAACTCTTGTTTGGTCGTGACGCTAATTGGCATCTTGAGATTACGCGGATTAAGACAGCGCCGGCTAGACGACTGAGGGTTGGAATGTTGTTTCCCTTTTAACACCATTTCACCTCACCTCATGAAAAAGCTATCAATGATGTCAACCGTGAATGTGGTTTCAGGGGCAAAGATATGGTATCACCAGTAATCTACTGGAGGCGGTGAAGTCGCTGTTCAAGGATGTGAAATACACTGTCAGAGTTAATGACCATATGTACCGGTTCACTCTCAGTCTGTCTACATCTCAGTCTGCCTACACTAATTACTAATTTATACTCAGTCTGCCTACCAAAAAGTGTAGGCAGAATGAGATGTAGGCAGACTGAGAAGTTACCTCTGTACCCATGGTGTAGTGCCTCTGGTTGGGGTAAAACCAAGTTGTTAGCGACCTAGCGGAATCTTAATGACGGCTGAATTGTGGTTTGGTATCAATAATAGTACTGTCAGTATTTTGTTGTATGGTATACGATATGGTGAGGAATGCCCCACGTGAAGAGACCCGTGAAGGATCCGGGGTAGAATAGGTCTTCAGCTACCCATGCTTGCCGTAAAAGGCGACTATGCTTGTCGTAAAAGAGGACTAACGGGATCGGGTGGTCAGGCTCGCTGACATGGTTGATACATGTCATCGATCCCGATTGCGTGGATCGATGCTCATGATATCAATCACTGGATTGTCTGGTCCAGACTCGATTATTTACAGACTGCCGTCATATAGCTGGAACATTGCTGAGTGCGGCGTTAAACAACAAACCAACCAACCCACGTGAAGACAAACTGCAGTGTTTGCGGTATCTTTTTTGGCCATTCAAGGTGTCACAAACGGAGACTCGGTGGTAATGAAAAGAATACAAGTGTCACATTTTAGACCGAAATCTGTGCTACGTTCTCAATACAATTTCGCCATTTCGCGAGGTTAATATTGATTATTCACACAACTATGAATATCTTGGGCTATGGCTTATTGAACATTTAGATTTTACTGTTGCAATATCTCAGATAGTGAAAACGGCCAGCCGCGCCCCAGGTACACTTTGCACCTGGTATGTTGACTCAGGTGGTTTTACCTATGATGTATTTAAAAACCCTGGTGCCACCTATAACCTGTATCAGTGTCATTTTGGGTATTATGCACAAAGGCATTAAAATATAATCCAAAATAGAGCATGTTACTTTTTTCTTGACTGGAAAAAGAGTGAGTTGGGTTTAACGCCCCTTTTAACAGTATTCCAGTTATATCACGGCGTGTTGGCTCAATGTGGGAGGAAAGGCCAAAGTCATGCTGGTTTACCACTTCGGTGAAACCAAAGAGCATGGGCATGGTGCTGACAAACCTAGATACAAAATCGGGGCGAACCGGGATTCGAACCCACATAGGTTTCCGGCGTGCCCAAGGGACGCAACTCTGCACCGCAAGACGACTGGGCCACCCGTGCCCCCGTTGGAACCAGAACTCCTCCCATATTGCAGGTGATATGAGATGGACTGCCAGTGTGACGTGATGTGTTCAAATTTCTCCAGCGTTTAAATAACATGCCTCGACACAGACACCCTCGTTGTAGTCATTAGTGGTCCAGCCGTGAGGCCGCTCGTAAGAAAAAATATGTATAGAATAGAGACAGGGTTGAATATTTATGACTTAGTGTGCCTAGTAAGGACATGGGCAGTGGGGTAGCCTTGTTGTTAAAGTGTTCTTTCGAGTGATTGATATCCTGCGCATCGATCCACGCAATTGCCATACGACATCAACCAAGTCAGCGAGTCTGGCCACCGTAAAATGTTCTCAGGTTTTGCACAAAAAAACATATTTAGGGGTACAGGCTAAATGTTCTGAAAAAAGATACTACCGCTTTTATTATCGTTACTGTGTACACAGGGGCGGTCGGGTGGCCTAGTGGTTAAGGTGTTCGCTCATCACGCCGAAGACCCGGGTTCGATTCCCGACATGGGTACAATGTGTGAAGCCCATTTCTGGTGTCCCCCGTCGTGATATTGCTGAAATATTTCTAAAAGCGGAGTAAAGCCGTACTCACTCACTCACTCACTCAGTTAGTAGTATTTACTTACAGCATATTCGACGCCGGTTATATCAGCTAGATGGAAGTAATTTATTCTGTGAAATGTGGAAAGATCAGTCAATAGAGATATTGCCTGAAACATTAGATGGGATTTTAGACAGATTGACTGAAACTCCTTTGTCTAATCTCCGCATAATATTTGGATCTATTTTGATCTTATGTCACTCTAAGTATGCCGTTAACACAATATTTTGGAATCAATTTGATGTCATTTTCCCCAGGCAAGGGAGTAAAGTGACTATTAAAGTCCAGTTTCCACCCTTACAGAAACTATGCTGGAATTTCGTGGCTCAATCGTAGCGCCATCAGCTGCTGTTACGGGTTATGTCCCTTCTGTGTCCCTGCTATTGACCAACCAGATGCCATCTATAATAATCACCTGCGTGAAATGATTTGGATAATAGCACTGTCGACGCCAAGTTGACGGCACACAAGCTTTACAAATCCTGCAATCGACTGAAATCTGCAGGACAGTTGCGATGTTGTTTACGAGCCGGATGTCGATTTCGTCACGCTGTTTGTTTGCACTAAGCATAGACTCGTTGAACCAGCACAAATATAATTCCAGCCTGGTTCGGCAAGTGTGGAAACTGGATTTTTTATAGTCAGTTAACTCCCTTGCCTCGGAAGATGTCTTATGTCAACAAATGTCAACACATCACTTATTATTTTTATTTTTTAACAGATTAGAAGCCCAGAGGTAGCAGTGACTTTAACCAGTCTCCTCATCAAAGCAAATAACCTGATTAGAAGCCAGATAATGACAATAGTTACATGCCAAGACAACAGGGGGCAGTAACCCATAAAATAAAGTGGATCGTAAAACTATAACATTGATCTATCAACAGTCACTTTTGCAATGGCTACTTCAATGGAAAATTCGTTTTAGAACAGTTGTTGAAAAGGAAGCGTCTGACAACAAGTCCTTATTATTGACCACAACAATGTTTTGCGTAACTTGAAGAACTCAAAGACCCTTGGTCTGCTAAGATCAAGCCCCCCTCGTCAGTATTTCAGCCTTTGCCAGTAAGAAATTTTTCAGTGTGGTGGTATTGAAAAGTTTTTTCCGTAAACGCCATGACAGTGCTCAAGAACCCATATACTTTACACATATCGACAATATGTTTGACATAGGGGACCCGTGAAGATCCGGGGTAGAATATGTCTTCAGCAACCCATGCTTACCGTAAAAGACGACTATGCGACTAACTGGATCGGGTGGTCAGGCTCTCTGACTTGATTGATGCATGTCATCGTATTCTCATTGCGTGGATCGATGCTCATGATGTCAACTGGATTATTTACAGACAGCCGTCATATAGCTGGAATATTGACGAGTGCGACGTTAAACAACAAACAAAAACATTAACAGAGGTCACGTTTCAACTGGTGGTGGTGACAAGATGTTGATGGCATTGACTAAATATGCTAATATCACTTGCTAGGAAGTAGAACTGTACAACTCCCCTCGCATTGAATGTCAGAAGAAGCGTGCACGAATTACAACAAAGGGCATAGTTGTTAAACCCATCCTGTTCACGGACTTTGGATCTCGAGGCAATTTCGTCATAAGGTTAAATGAAAAGGTTAAATTAAGGATTCTAATTCATTTCAGTCAGTCTAAAATTCAGTCTCATTTTTCAGTCATTATGTACAATGGAGTGAGTGAATGAGTTGGGTTTAACGCCGCTTTTAACATTAAACCAGTTATATCCAACATGTCAGCTTTATGTTGGGGGAAAGCCCGAAGTCATGCAGGTCTCAGACGTTTACCACTTCGGTGAAACCCACGAGCACGGGCATGGTGCTGCCAAACCTAGAAACATAATCGGGGCGAACCGGGATTCGAACCCAAAATCATAGGTTTCCGGCGTGCCCAAGGGACGCAATTCTGCACATTCTCCCCATTATGTACCTTGCCTGGGTGAATGAGGCAACCCATATACATATATATTGACTGAAATGTTTACTATTAAAGTCAAAATACACATTGCCTGATTATAGATACAGATATGTGTGTGTGTGTGAGAGAGAGAGAAAGAGAGAGAGAGAGAGGGGGGGGGGGGGGGGGGGGGGGGGAAGAGTTCGCGTGCGCTTGTCTTGTATTGTATTGTAATGTATAATAATTGTAATTTTTAACGATGTCAATACCAAACTAATTTCATTGATATTAAGTCTCTTATAACCTCCGGGTGGTCTCTGTACATTTTTAAAATCTCTCTCTCTCTCTCTCTCTCTCTCTCTCTCTCTCTCTCTCTCTCTACTCTCTCTCTCTCTCTCTCTCTCTCTCTCTCTCTAAATATTCTTACATCTCTCCGGTCCCTCTAATCAGTCACACTGACAGAATACCCGAAAGCCAAGCATCATGGGTGAGAAGTTACTTACGTTTCTGTCTGCCCTGATTCCATCGTAAGCTTGGCTTCGTAGTCCTTTTTCCCTTCCGTGGTACAAATGTACAAACGACATATACAAGTAACTCAACCGCTCTCATCAACCATTGCCTGCCAGTAGTCCAATACTGAGGCTGATACAAACCATGCTTCACTGGCTCCACAGTTGTGATGGTGTCACATGGCTGTTTGCTGTTCAGCGGCTGTGTTGGCCGTGTGATGAGGCCTACACTGTGTATTGATTACCCCAGCAAGGCTTCTCGTACTGGAAAAGAAATTCCGGTTTTCATACATCAGGAAATTACAAAATAGATTTTATCAAAACGCGTACCGCTATTGTGATTTCAGCCCTACGCGGTCAGCGCTTTCCATATTGTATTTGCTGGCGGACATAGCCGTCAGAGACCAGGTCTAGAACTTACTGCTCATTTGAATGGTGTCGTGGATAGAGCGTTGCCTTAGGAAAGGTCGGTGGTTCGATCACCAGGCGCGTTATACTAAAAGGCGTTCAAATGTGGTACTTGTTGTTACCCCGCCTGCTCCTTGGCATTAAGGGGATAAAAGGACTGGACAGAGTGATGTGACTAAGTGGGGTTTCCATGTTACACTGCAGTATGATATGTCAGTGAGATAGAACTAATAATGTGGCATAGTCTGGACGTGTACAAGCACACGCACGCACACACACACGCACACACACACACACACACACACACACACAAACGTGCCATAATATTTGACACAACGTTAAACCCCATTTCACCTAACTGGTCTGAATCTAGTGCCATTCGTCAACCTCACAATGGAAAACGTGTCATGTTAGTCGCGGTATACGTAAAATTGCTTGTCAATGGGCAATCAGTAGCGCAAAGACAAGTCATCTGTAGCTATCCTCCACAGGGCTCGCTGTCAAATGGCAGGTCGATCAGTAATATCATCTCACATCCCATGGGTCATAAAACAGACCAATGCTGTCTATGCGCATAATATGTTGGGTTTTTTAATTTTGTTTTCCGCCCAAAAGGCTGTCAAATATTTGCGTTGATCTATTTCGGTTTGTTTATTTAAGTATACCGGAGACTACATGTCTCTTTGCGACGAAGAAAATAGAAACAATATAAGTGACAATTGTAACTTCTTAGAGATTTCGTGTACGTAAATATAAAACGTCACCGCCAGAGAACAACCAGTCTCGACCAATCACTGGACGCAAAAGGCAAAATGGCGGTGAAAACCATATAAAAGGACCACCGAAAATCAGTGAGTGAGTGAGTATGGTTTTACGCCGCTTTTAGCAATATTCCAGCAATATCACGGCGGGGGACACCAGAAATGGGCTTTACACATTGTACCCATGTCGGGAATCGAACCCGGGTCTTCGGCGTGGCGTGCGAACGCTTTAACCACTAGGCTACCCGACTGGCCCCCGAAAATCAGTGATGACACCAAGCACTTGTGAAAAGGGCAAGCACGTGCTCCATCACGTCGCCCTACGTCGCAAAGAGGCACTTTGCTGCAAGTATTACAATTTACCTTTTTATTACAATTTACGTCGTAACAGGCACGTTCATCAGGCGACAGTGGCCTGTAAACAAACCGGCGGATGTACACGTGCAACAGATTACTAACTGATGTTGTGTACATAGGGTTGCTTCCATGAGCTAATTGTATTAAAAGTTGATTGAAGCATATTTCAATCATATAATTGGTTGACAGCTTAAACGTTCACCAGTTTTGATAACAACTTCGAGTTATACCAAGGATATTATGTACCACACACTCGTCTTGCTATCTCCACCACAAATTCACATAAATATAGCAATTTCATGTTTAAGGGATTTAACGATCTGTGGAAATGGCGGAAACACAGAACATGCCACAAGGATATCTGACCACTCTCGTGACACTACCACGGCAGTCTTGTCAGGGTGTTTGTTTCCTGTAAATATTGATGAAATGTCTGTCTCATACAACAAACAATTAATTTCTAGTTGGAAATTCCCGAATATGAGTGAACGAGGATTTTTACGCTTTTACCAAATTCCTGCAATGACAATACGGGGGACACCAGAAAAGGGCTTCACAAAATTATAACCGATGTAGGAAGCGAACCCGGGCTTATCGGGTACATTGCGTGACGATGCAACTCTTGAACCACTAAGCTATCCGACCTACCTGTTAAACAACCTGAATGATATGGAGGTTTTAATAGGTACTGAGATGATAACTGTGATGGTTGTGGCACAAGATTTCTTCTTCTGTAGGTTTTTATACTCAAGGCTTCGTTCCAGGAACACCAGCATATCCAGAGCGCAATTTCTTTCTTTTGTTGTCTGATGGTGAGGTGAAATGGGCTTTAACGTCGCGCCAAGATTATTGCACTTATATAGCGACGTGCATGCACGTGTATGTGTGTGGCTGCTTGTACTAGTCCGGACTGATGCCGATTTATAGTGCTAGCTCACTGAGATACCATGCCGCAAGTTTAACATGAATACCCAACTCAGACACAGTATACTGACTCCGAGCCGACCAGTCCTTGTTTTATCCCCTTAATGCCGAGCGCCAGACAGGGTAACAACAAGTACCATCTTTTAACGTCTTTTGGTGTGACGCGGCCAGGGATCGAACCCCGGACCTCTCCGGGCGGACGCTCTACCATTAGACCACGGAGGCGGTCCTGTCTGATGGGGTTGAACATGGGACGTGTGTGTGTGTGTGTGTGTGTGTGTGTGTGTGTGTGTGTGTGTGTGTGTGTGTGTGTGTGGCTGGAAGGGGGGGGGGGGGGGGGGTAATTCTTTTCCATTCTATTTCTGTGGTGAGCTGTTGGTCTGTTATTGTCGACAATTCTTAAAGCATTTTTTTATACTCTACGCATGGCCTCCGTCATTGATGCTCCAAAATCGTTTTTGTCACAATATTCTACAATGAAACAAAAGCGACAAAACCCTTTCCATATTCATAAGAAATCTCTACTAAATGCAGAGTCGATTTAACGATTCTGACGATATCACGAACACATGTTTATGAATCACAATCAAAATAGACAATTGCATTGTTCATCATTTTGATATATACATATTTTTCCATAAAGTGGAGGGATTGGCAAACAATCAAATATTGCTGATCTGAATACCTCTCCAAAACATGATACATATAAAAATTACAATGCATTGAAAGTGACATGACAAATACCATACGTTATATAATTGACATTAAAGATAATTATTGTTCTGTAAGTGTTTATTACTCGATTATCTTTCGTTACTACAGCTACGTTATTTTTTACATCCTGCACAACAACATTGCAGTACCATGCAGCAAAGCCAACATTAAAAAAAAAGACTCAGACAAAATCTCTAAATCGGCAAAAAGATGGAATAAAACTGAGCACTGATTTCAAAATTTCAAGATCTGTTACAGTCGTTAACTATGAATTATCATTTAGAATTTAATTTAAATCGTAGCCTTTTACGAAATAATACATATTTTGCCTTAATGTACTGTTTAAGAAAGAAATGAAGTGCATCTTCCGTGTGACAGCCACAGCAACATATCGGGCTGTCGGATAAAAATCTTGCATTAAGATCGCTGCAGCCAAACCTGAGACGAGAGTGTATAACCTGACAGAATCTTGATCCATAATTTACACCAAAGTATACTCAACAACAAACGTTCCTGTGACACAAATATTTTAGTGTATTTTTCAAACAAGTAAAGTTAGGTTTTCAATATTTTAGTACATATATGGAATCAAGTCACAAAAACGCAACTGATACAGAAAAGCTTACATTCCATGCAAAAGTTGACTTTTATGCAAGCCCCATGCATTTCACTACCAAGGAATGGGTATAAAAACATGTGCGTTAACGAGATTCCATATACATTGTTTAGCATCGTGCTGACAACAACCACTCAGAAAAACAACAAAATTACGCAATTATTCAATATTACGAAATGCCACGCCTGTCCGAAAAAGATCGTCTCCGAGCCATTGGTTTGCTTGAAGCAGGATCGAGTCAACGTGATGTTGCAAGACAATTTAACGTCCACAGAAACACTATTTGGTGTTTATGGCAACGTTGGCAACAGACGAATGCAGTCAGAGACCATCCTCGGAGTGGCAGGCCACGCGTAACCAATAGTCGACAAGACAACTGGATTCGAACAACACACCTACGAATTCGATTCCAGCAAGCAACAGTGACCGCAAGAAGCATCCCTGGCCTTCGACGAATATCTCCACACACCGTACGTCGCCGCCTCAGATGTGCAGGGATTGTCGCCAGAAGACCCGCCAGACGTCCCATTTTGACAGGAAGCCACCGTCAAGCACGTCTACAGTGGTACAGACTGCGTCTACGCTGGACGGCCATGCAGTGGGGACAAGTTCTGTTAACTGACGTGTCTCGTTTTCACCTCAGCCACAGCGATGGACGGATTCGAGTGTACCGACGTCGACGTGAACGTTACTTCAATCATTGTGTCATGGATGAAGATCGGTTCGGGGGCGGCAACGTTATGGTATGGGGTGGGATTACAGCAAGACAGAGGACCCGTTTGATAGTGGTAGAGGGAAATCTCAATGGACAGCGCTACCGCGACGAGATCATCGGCCCCGTTGTTCTACCGTTTTTGCGTCGTCATGGCCCAGGCATTACCTTTCAACATGACAACGCCCGGCCTCATGTTGCTCGACTTGTTCAGGATTCTCTTCAACAAAAGAACGTGAATGTCATCCCCTGGCCGGCTCGCTCCCCTGATCTCTCACCAATCGAGCACAGGTGGGATGAGATGGATCGGTGCCTTCGACGTCAATCACGTATTCCACAGACACTCCAGGAACTTCGAAACATGCTCCAGCAGATATGGACAGATATCCCACAGGACTTTGTGCGACGCCTGGTCCATTCCATGAGACGAAGATGTGTTGCTTGCATCGCAACCAGAGGCTGACACACATGCTGTTGATTTGTAAATTGACATTTTGGTATGTTCATGTTTTTTTTATGAAATCACGCATTTTCTGAAGTCAGTATGACAAATTAAACCATTTGAACACTTACAAGAGTCTGTTATCTGTTGCAAACCGAAATTGTTTCAGATTTGGTAAAAAACGTAACTTTGCATTAAATCTTATTCAATGTCACAGGAACTTTTGTTGTTCAGTATATATACCATTCTTATCATTGCTTTTTATCAAACTTTTTATCTACTGACATTAGTGTATTCAATAGGTAGTGAGTTCCAAATATTAGCTGTATCTGGAATAAATGATTTGACA